CTCTTGTCCAGTCAAGGCCATCTTCCCCTTACCTGTCTCTCTGCTTTTCCTCCCTGAGACAAGAGAGGAGCAGCCCTATGGATAGGTGGTGGGAGTTGATGACATTGTCCCTAGCTACAGAATCGTGTGCCATGTTTAGTTCCTACACAGTGTCTCCATATGTTCCAGTTATAAAATAAGACGAGGGCCCAGTCCCAACAAATTTACTTGTAAATACCTTTCCAGTTTTGTTAAAGTTCATGCATTAAGCTAACATAATATTAGTAATTAATTATAGCCTAATCATAAAGAGTATTAGTACACTTATGTATATGGTGTGGCATGTCAACGACATAAAATTACATTTAAATTAGTTATCAATTACTGGACTAATGAAATCTTGTAGCATTTTGTAGTTTCCTCAGACCAACATCATTAAATTAATTTGTGCTAATTTTCATTGACATATCGCATGCTGATCACCAAAAACTTATGTTATTCAGCGTAAAATTGATTATTGTATTATTAAATTGATTTAATAATGTTGGTTTACAAAAAGATGTCAGTGAGAAAAATATTTATGCATTGTAACTCACCATAGAAGTCAGCTGAGTAGGGGAAGAAGCAGAAGGATGTCAACTTGCTGGTGAAACACTTATTATCACATACCCACGCCAAATAATTATATATGTAAAGTATGTAATTTGATAAATAAAAATGTATGAATCTCTCAATTCTGAACACTACTTCCAGCACTAATTAATATTTTGATTTTAAAGATGCAGCACTTTAACACAGCAATTATAAGTTATTGGAAAATTAAACTTAGTTTCTTTTATCACAACTGAGTTTTGAAGGTTTTAGTTAGGCTAGTGAGACTTCTGGTGGAAAACAAGAAGAAACCTCACTTCTATTTCATGTAAATTTGGATATTCATTTTTCATTCTTATCCAGAATTTTGAATTACTCATAGTATTAAAAGTACTTTCCAGTCCTTTGTCCAATGATAATGCAGTAAGTTGAAAGGTTTCTTCATGGGAAAGGGCTGTCTCTTTGTGTTCAACAAAAGGGTTCACAATCCACGTATTTTGCTTCTGGGGATCCTCATGTTCAGGATAATATTTTTCAAACGACAACAACATCTTCAAGTGGGCTGCAATAATATCTGAAACTGAATTCTGTGAATAGAAATCATCTGCTTCCATAATATAATCTGAGTATGACTGAAACATTTCATTGTTTCCTTCTGCAGTCATATTAAGCCAGAGTTTGAGTTTCTTTTTGAATGATTCGATCTTGTTCCACACATTAAATATTGTTGTATCTGGACCTTGAAGTTTTAAATTCAACTCGTTCATGTAAGAAAATATGTCACTGAGATACACCAGCCTGGCTACCCATTTCTTATCCTGGAAATAATGGGACAGGTTACTTTTCTTATCAGTTAGAGAGAGCTCGACTTCCTTTCGGATTTCATATAACCTCTTGAGAACTTTACCGCGGGGCAACCAATGAACTTCCGAATGGAAAAGAAGATTTTGATGATCAGAGCCCATTTCATTGCACAATGCTTTTAACAGTCTTGTATTTAAAGCACTATTTTTTATATAATTAGTAATCTTAACAGATTGAGACAGGACTTCATTAAGCTCAGGTGCCATTTTTTTGGAGGCCAGGTTTTGCCTATGAATGTAGCAATGCATTGCCACTAAGTTATTGCTCACCATATCCTTAATTTTAGTGACCAAACCTGAATTTCTACCTGTAAGACAGGCACCACCGTCAGTGCAAACTCCAACGCAGTTTTTCCATTTGAGACCTCTCTCTTCAATGAAACCATTTAAAACTTCGGAAATTTCACTGCTGGTAGTGTGCGTAGGTAATTCAGAAACACTTAAAATGTCTTCCTTCATGTCGCTCTCATCATGGTCAATATATCATACATACGTAAGTAAAATGCTGCTCTTCTGAATATCTGTAGATTCATCCAGTTGTCATGCAAACAATTTCGATTTTTTATTTTTTTCTGTGACTTGCGTTTCTGTATCTTCTGCCATATCAGATATCCGCCTACCAACTGTATCATTCGACAATGGGATATCTTTCATTTTACTTGCCGCAGACTGGCCTAATACTTCATTACAAGCAGTAATCAAAGAAGGCTTAATGAGTTCTTTCCCAATGGAATATGGTTTTTTACATTTAGCTATCTGTAGTGATATTAAATAGGATGCCGTCAGAAGTGAAGTGTCAGTGGTTGAAGCTTGGTAAATAATTTTCTTTTCTACTTTAAGTGCAACTCTTTTATGCATAAAGAATTCAATGGGTTTGTTGACTAGATCGGAATGTCTTGTGTTGAGATGTCGGATAAGTCGTGATGGCTTCATAGCTTCATTTCCCAGAACAGTAGCACAAATGGGACGTTGAGGTCGTAGCAATTGGTCGGTGTTAGGGCATTGTATGAAACCAAATTTTAAGTAGCTGTCCATGTACTTACAAATGGATGCAAACTTTTTCTTCTGTGTGCTGGTGGTTTTCCCTTCATTTTGTACATCCTGGAGATTGCTATGTAGGCTTGAGGTGGATGAATCACTATATATTGTGTCACAAACACCTTCAATTCGAGATTTCTTAACACCAAAATTAAACAAAGTCCCCTGTCTCTTATTCATATTAAAATTTAAATCACTCAGGTTTTGAAACAAGCACTTAAACACTGCAATGCGAACTTGCGAAGAAACAGTATTTAGTATTACTAGATTTGAGAACTGGATACAGACTGCCTTGATCTTCAATTTCAGTGGGAACTTTTTTTTGTACTTCCTTGCTGATTGGCCACTGATATTTGCAACACAGATGTTATTTCGCCCAGTTCTGAGAACAGAGGATATGCCGCCCATTATTGTAATGGGCTTGCAGGCAATTTTTATGACTGGTCATAAACATCGGTATTACCTTTCCCAAATGTTGAAAGATGTGGATGTCTGAAAATTCCCGATCATTCATGAATATTTCCATGTTTAAAAATATGCGGCTTGGTCACTGACATTTGCTACACAGATTTAGGTGTTTTGTGTCTGAGCCTCTCGACACAAATATTATTCTGCTCAGAATATTTCCACTATAAAATATTTATTCATGAAAAATGCTTAGAAAATGAAAATGACAAATTCCAGAAGAACCTCTCGCGGCCCAGTATAATTGATGCCAGGGCCCACTACTGGGCCACTGCCCGGCGGTTGAGAAGCACTGCTGTAGAGAAACTGTGTTGTACGAGTAATTTAACCTGAGGGCTATTAAATTGTTTGTCTCACAGTTTGTTGTGGTGGGCCTCAAACCAGTAAATCATATCTTCACATTTAAGTAATATCATCATCCTTTTTTACTGTGTTACAAACTGAAAGGTCATGAGTTCGATTCCCAGTTAGGTAACTGGATTTTTAGATTGACCGAAACCTTCCAGTCACACTATGACCCTGGGGTCAACTCAGCCTCTAACAGAAATGAGTACCAGGAATATTCTTAGGGGGTAAAGGTTAGCCGGCATGTAAGGCTGACAACCTCAGTGCCATCTGTGAGCCTATTGTCAAGAAAGTATGGGAGTCTCGATGTCTCACACCCCTATGGGCCTCCACAGACTGTTACAGGGACAACTCTAACTTTTTTTATACTATCATCCTTTCTTATATTTTGGTTATTGAGACCTGTTATGGCCTCCTGTTAAATAGGCACCAGGGGCTGTTTCCCCATGTGGGAGTGGCATAGAGCTGGCCACTAACCTCAAATTAGGGCATAACTAATTAAGCTTTTATGGATACTACAAAACAGAATGCTGTATAGCTACATAATTTAACTGTTTGTGATTTGTGATGTTTGTAGGTGGCAGAGTCAGTACTGGGGAGAAACTCGTAAGGAAACACGGAAGGTGGTTCCATTGTGCTGAATGCTACCGCAGAATTCTGCCGTTCGTTAGGTGACATCCCCATTTATGGTCTGGCTGGCAACTGATGAGGACGCTCAGGAACTGCTTGTGAGTGCAATATAACTGTCCACAGATAAATGTACATTTGGCAAGGCACTTTGATTTAGCATGTGTCAAGACTAGAACAGTCCATTGCCCATCTACAGTTATTTACTTCAGCTGCAACAGAATTACAATATATTTTAATTACAGTTGAATTCCATGATAATGGATATATAAATTACTGAACTGGAAACATCCAACAGAAATCCTAGAAATGAAAGCACTCATTATACAATAAGAATGTGACAGTTGAGGTGGTAGAACCTTTTTCTTCTTCTTGACAAGTGGTACCTTCTGGATTAAAATTCTGTATAATGTGATAAGGTCCATAAGCATTTTGAGGGAACGTCAGTAGACTTACAGGATGTGACTTCCCAGAAGATAGTGACTTTCTTAATCTCCTCTACAAGAATCTCAAATCCAGTCTTTTTTTTTCCATCTTTTATTTCTTTTTTCTCCCTGTGCCATGTGCATGATACAAGGGTAGAAAAGACGCTACTAGGAATTATATGTGAAATTGAAATAGGGATGAATAAATAGCTCAGAACATGACTAAATGAAAAACCAGTAGTTCTTTTAATTTTATTCATTGCAAAGTGAATTGAATGTTAATTGTCACAGTATTCTCACTGCAAACTCAGAATTAGTTTGGCAGGTGTACATTGCTTGGCAGAATGAGAGTATGTTTCTAATGGATCTGTAACTTTAAAGCATACTATGATATTAAAAAGATATTTTGGCAAAGAAGTTTCAAGATGATCTGTATAGTCAGAAGAATTCTGTCTTCTGGGGTATCATCCAAATTTCTGGGGGAGAACATGTCATTTGAATATTCAAGGTCAAAGAATAAATGAAACAAGAAGCCAGCATGAAGCAGGTAGGAAGCTTGGCTTTGTTACCTGCCAGTGCTGGTTTCTTGCTTGATTTATTCTTCAACCCTGAAGATGGAGGCGACATGTTTCTGCAAAATGTCTGTTGACTTTCGACAGACTACACAGCATTCTATCCCAGATGACAGAACTCTTCAAAACCACTGCTGTCAGATGCTCAAATCCTACACAGTAGAGTCAGTACTTTACAGTGCAGTAATTTTTTATACAGTGATTGGTGGGTAAGCAGTTCAGATTTCAGTATGTCTCAAGGTAATTTTGAATTGGTAATTTTTGGACTGTGCATTTGTGTTCTGCTAATCTCATACAAAATTTACATTACAGGACTCTGAGAGGGAAATGATTGAAGGGAAGAAACGTCAGAAAGAAGAAGGCAAACGTGGAGCTTGGAATGAAGTTGAGACTGGTGAGTCATTAGCAGATTCTTTATGTACAACATAGACCTATTCACATTAAGAGATATTGACACTTTAGTATTGGTTTTAATTGTGCGTTTATATTTTAAGTATTTCATAAATGGTGTACCATATTTAATCATATACTGCAGTTTTGTTAGGGGTTTTAGTAGAAACACATTAATCATTACTGTTTAATATTTGTAGCGGTAGGATAGTTGGTTGAGGCATTATGCTACATGTTGGAAAGTCATGGGTTCAAGCCCCAGTGAGGTCATTAATTTTTTTCACTTGACCTAATCCTTCCAGCTCCAATATGCTCCAGGGGTCGACTTAGCCTCTTGACAGAAATGAGTACCAGGAATTTTCGTTGGGGTAAAGTGTGGCTGGTGCGTAAGGCTGACAACCTCACTGATTGTCTAGAAAATGTGGGAGCCTTAATGTCTCACAACCCTATGGGCCTCCACAGTCTGTTACAGCGATAGCTTGGTTCATAAGGTGACAGCCTCACCGCCATCTGTGAGCCGGTTGTCTAGAAAATATGGGAACCTCGATGTCTCAGAACGCCACGAACCTCCACAGTCTGTTACAGCGATAACTTTATTTTATTTTTTTTTGTACTGTATTGTGTTTTGGTATGTAATGAATGTCACTCATGAAGAATGCTGTCTTCTGGGATGTGGCACTGTATAAATGTTGTGTAAACTGATATTTTGGAGGAACGTATCGCCTCCATCTTCTGGGTATAAAAATCTACAAGCAAGGAACTAGCGTGAGCAGGTGGCTGGAGACTAAGTCACTTAAGTCACTGTAGCTGTCAAGTCTTCTCCTTAGCAGACCTTAGGAAAGAGAGTTGTCATGGGCACAAGGATCGGCCACTTGCTTTGATTATGGAGTAGAGTAGGAGATTTTGAAGTGTAAAGAATATCTGAGCTTTGAATACTTTGTCAAATCCTCTATAACTGAATTGCAAGTCTCGTCGCGTCTCTTAGGATTGACCCACTTGTGTATTAGGGAGGTGAACATGACGGTCAAGACAGGACGAAGTAAGCAAGCAAGACTAATTAAGGAATTTAATATACAGCATTGTTTTATCTTTTTCAGAGATGATGAAAAGTTTGGGCGTCGAGAGCGCTACAGTGGTCTGACCTCAGACTTCAAAGAAAAGGAGGGCTACAAACCAAATGTTAAACTCTGCTACACAGATGATGATGGACATGTACTTAATGCAAAGGAGGCTTTCAGGTTAGCACAAATAATAGCTCATCTGTTTTTAAGATAGGTCACATTGTGGAGGGTAGCCTGTCGAATGGTAGTACATTCTTTAGAGCAGAAAGAGTTTCCACAGTAATTGCCATTTTAAGACAAATAAATCCAAGGAGGAAGCAGTTTTTCAGTGGAAACAGACAGGATTATGGGACTGCCATGTTTATCATCCATGTGTGCCATCCTCACGATAATGTGTGATGTCATCATGCCACTCCCATGTTCTTTTAGTTGTCTACCATCGGCCATATTAACATGGTGACTGAGTTACGAGCAACACTAGAGACACTTAAATTAGGTCCTTAAGAAAAAGGTCCTGGGGTAAGCTGTTATACCCATTTAGAAGGTTCTGAGTTCGAGCTTCAGGAATATAAAAGATACNTGTGTATGTCACAGTTTGTAACTAGCCAACATATTGTGACATTTGAGTGTATAAATACTTTGTACTTGATATAGTTTGTTGTGTAGGCATAGAATGTGGCAGAATGGTTCATTTTGCAGATAGGTTGCATGAATTAGGAAGAAACCAGCCTCAAAATTATCCCATTGTACTTTTATTAAAATATTTTATGTTAATCATTTCAATCCCTACAACTTTAATGTGATGTAGCATGCCCATTTCTGTTTGTTTGCTGTATGAGTAAGTTGTGTAGAAAAACAGAATGTTACATATTTTTATTATTTCACAAGATAACAGATCTATATATGGATCATACCATTTTTTCCGGCTGAAACTTCAAGATGAAAGGATTTTACGTGTTACTTGGAAACATGGCCACATTCTGTAAGCCCCCAAAATACAGTGACTCTAATGTTGTCTCTATTTCTAATTTCAGATACCTGTCTCAAGAATTTCATGGAAAGGGACCTGACAAAAATAAAATGAAGAAAACTGAACAGGAAGGAGTGAGTATCAGTCCAGATCTGGTCATGAGCTCTTATTTCTAATACAAGCCGGTAGGTCATGGGTTCAAGTCCAAATTAAGTCATTGGATTTTTTTCAGTTGACCTAATCCTTCCAGCCCCACTATGGCCCTGGGGTCGACTTGGCCTCTAATAGAAATGAGTACCAGGAATATTCTTGGAATATTCTTGGGCGTAAAGGGCGGCCAGCGCATAGGGCTGACAACCTTGCCACCATCTGTGAGCTGATTGTCTAGAAAATGTGGGAACGTCAACATCTAACAACCCTATGGGCCTCCACGGCCCGTTGCAGGGATACCTTTACTGTAGTATATTGTAGCACCCTGCTGCACTTCATTTAGTACCAAATTGTTTCACAGTCTCACGTGCAGCATGTCCTTCTGCAAAACTTCCCAAAAGTTATTCACTACATCTTTCGACCTCTAAGGTCATTATCAGGTGTTTTAAAATTATAAATGAGGAAACTGCTGATCTTCCATATTGTGGTTGTTGGTCATCACCATGCAGTCCCTTCTATGCGCATGTGTATACAAAGTGGCAGGTTGTTCTGATGCTGCGTGTCCCTCTTGCACTGCATAACACAACAGGCAGAACAACCAGCCACTTTGTATATACAGGGTATACACAAAAGAATGGTGTGGTTTCAAAAGTGAATAAAAAATGTATTTCTCAACTTACATGGGCATACACTGTCAGATGCGGCAACTGTCCAAGTTTCTCATGCCCTAATTACAAACCTCCAATGTGTGCACCCTTGGTCACACGACACACATCCACACAGTAATCAGACTTATCCCAGACCCGCTGTAGCATGTCCGCTGTAATGGCCTGCAGTGCATGCGCTATCTGATCACGAAGTTCATAAACGGACGTGGGCAATGGTGGTACATAAACGCTGTCTTTAACAAACCTCCAAAGAAAGAAATCACACAGTCTAAGATCTGCCAAACGGGGTGGCCAAGGGAGAAGGTTGTTATCTCCATATGCAGCAGAGTTTGATTACCGTGTGGACATGTGTCATGTGATCCAGGGTGCACGCATTGGAGGTTTCTAATTAGCGCATGAGAAACTTGGACAGTTGCTGCAGCATTCTTTTGTGTATACTGTGTACATGTGCATAGAAGAGACCGCATAGTGATGACCCAACAACCACAAAATGGAAGCACAGCAGTTTCCTCATTTATAATTTATAATTTTAAAACACCTGCTGATCTTATAGGTCAAAATATGTACTGAATAACTTCTAGAAAGTTCTATAGAAAGACGTGCTGCACATGAGACTGTGAAACCATCTGATGCTATTTCTAAATGGTGCTCCATAAGGAAGCAAATTTTAGTTATTGTTACATGTCCACAATTCCACATAACAGATAGATATCCATCCGCACTTTTTGTGCATTCATTTTCTGCTGACTACAGACATACACAGTAGCTTCAGTCCTGGGACAGAATGAATACTGCAACTGTGTGGCAAGTCAGATGGAGCCTCCTCATAAAACACACAGCATATTTATTCAATTGTCATTAGGCTAATAGACACAGACCATGGGTTGGAAATTCGGAGAAATTGGCAACTTCAAGCAGCAGACTCGCTTAAAATTTAGCCAGCTGTTAGGGTAATCAGTGACAGGAGCTGCAGATATTACAGAATGTTTAAGGGCAAACAGACTGTGCCCCATCTGAAGGAGATTATCCCCCCCCCCAGTTGATGAAACAGATGAGCTTACCAGACACCCGCTCGGAATGCTTAGCCTCTTGCAGCAGAAGCAGAAAGAAATGCAGTCTCCATTTGTGGTCCTTAGTGGCAGTAAACAAATGTGAGTATGAAGAAAGCAGTCTTCTGGGATTTGGCACTGTGTATATGTGGTGTTAACTGACATTTCGGAGGAACGTATCGCCTCCATCTTCTGGGTAGGAGGAAAAATGTAAGAAATCTGCAGGCAAAGAGACCGTGAGAACCGGTACAAGCAGACTGGTGTTGGAAATATACACAGCTATGTGAGAGCAGTGAAGGAAGGGGGAAGGGCAAGTCTACATGTGAAATCAGTGGAGTTGGAGAGGGGGGGGAAGGAGCTGGGACAGGAGCAGGGTTTTGTGTTGGGGGAGAGAAAGGCAAGGTTAAAGGATGGNCACTGCTCTCACATAGCTGTGTATATTTCCAACACCAGTCTGCTTGTACCGCTTCTCATGGTCTCTTCGCCTGCAGATTTCTTATATTTTTCCTTCTACCCTGAAGATGGAGGCGATACGTTCCTCCGAAACGTCGGTTAACACCACATATACATGGTGCCAAATTCCAGAAGACTGCTTTCTTCATAGTCACCACCGTGAAAACCTCAAATCTTACAAACATGAGTATGCTTTTTGTCTGCATTCATTGAAAAGAACAACCAGTTCTAATTAAAAAAAATTGTATTCATTAACTGACAGACTTAGACACGAGAACACAGATTACTAGATGAAACCATGAACTCAGTTCAAAATTTGTCTAATCTTGACATTGCAAATAATAGTAATTCATAGCTTTAACTTAAAGGCTGAGTAGATGGGAAGTCATATAGTAATGGCGATAATGTCATATGGTGATTATACTGCTCCAAAGTAAATATTTGTTTTCCTCTGAGCATGTCACGTGTCTTGTTATAATTTGTAGACTGTACACTATAAAGTGTCATTTTAATGATGGATTGATTAATAAGACTTTCCTCCTTCGTACTGTGAAGCTTTACTAAAAATTTCTGTTTTTGATGCAGAATATGAAATTTCATTTTCAAAACGAAAACCACCATGTGAAGTTTTTATGAGATCTTCAATTTTAGCATGAGCATTACTACATTTTCTTTATTTTTCAGAGCAATCATCTCAAAAACAAAACTGCAAATTCTTCATGGAATGTGCTGGCACCAACTCTGAACTTTGGCGTGGACTTATGTTTTTATTGTTTCTTACTGTCTGGAATATCATCTCTCTTTTTAAATAAGACACAGCTTGCAGCTGCTGACATTGCCTATGTGTACTGGAAGGAAGGCCACAGAGTTCATGTCACACTCAAATGAGTACAGTGGTTCTCCTGCTTCCTTAGGTTACCTGTTGGCACCCGTAAGCTGAAAAGTACAATTTCTAGTGATTAGTTGCTTGCTTATAGGACTTGAGCCAGATGAACAGCCTCTAAGCTAAATCAGACATTAATTAGTAATTATATTTGGCCTTTCTTGATTGCAATAGCAAAATTGTATAACCCCCATCCATGTTGCATTCAAGCCTGCAATTTGGTCACTAAACCGTGTGACATGTATCCTTCCAAGGGAAGAAAGAAACCCTTGTTCATTGATAGGCCAGTATGAAAAACTGTAAAATTATACAAGCAACAGAATCAGAAGATGTACAGTCTACTGCAAATCATTGTAAAGCACCACTGATATATATCACTGAAACATTTGTAATGGGTTATAAAAGTAACTTGGTTCATCCTGGTCCATCACACTAGTAATTAATTGTATGTAAAATTTTTAACCACCGTCTGTTGTGATTGATAAAAGTTTTTAATTAATCATCCTTTACATGTTCCAATCAAAACGCCCATCTTCAGAAGGATATTATCAACACATGGAAACTACTACATGTTACATGTCATAGATATAAATACAATATATTTTTAACTGATATTGAGATGTGCATTGATTTGTTAAAGCATCTAAAAATTATTACAATTAGTCTGTTTACAAAATAATGTTCCATATTTTGAATCTAGAACCAATTTGGTTTGTGTTGTTACACTTCTGTAATAATTTGAGATGTTTTAACAAATCAGTGTACACCTTAGCATTAGTTAAAAGACATAACATATATATGTATGACATGGTAACAATAGTTTCCTTGTGTGTTCATAATATCCTTCTGAAGATGGTCGTTTTGACTGGAACATGTAAAGGATGAAAAATTAAAAACAGCTTTTATCAATCCCACTGGACGGTGGTTACAAATCTTATATGTGGTTATAAAAGTCCTGTGTTTAATCCACTTGCAGATGATCAAGAGTCTTCTATAGGTATACGAAAACTTCCAAGACACATAGACTCAGCCAATAATGTCAGGTCATGAAACTGTGTACTGATCTTAAGGCATCTTCTTGGGGGTGGTGATAATGATTTGAACCCAAAATGAATATATAAGTCAGTGCTGAACATTATCTGAAGTCTGAATTGTAATCCTGATGTGTTACTAGTCTTCACTTAAGTAGGTACACAGACAGACTCCAGGTGTTCCCAAACTTATATTTTCCTTGATATCAGTAATGTATAACTGGAAGTTGACATCCTCAGTCACATATATTCCAGCCACCTGATTATTTAAGACAGTTTCAATATGTTTTAGTCTTTGTTAATAGAAATTAACTTGAAGTCACACTATTACAAAAGTTGTTACATTTGTGTATTTCTTCATGAAATAGGGATTATAATTTAAAACATGTACACCTACTCCATTAGGTGCATGCAGATTATGTTGTTCAGTTAGTGTGGTTATGTGCAGGGTTGGAATTTTGTATGGAGTTGATTTCCGTTTTGTAACAATTCTCACCTAGAGCAGTCTGCGTATGGTTATTGATGGTCATTACTATCTGTCCTTACCATAGATGATCAATTCTTCAGTAAATGGTTTTCAAACAAAAGGTATGACACACCTATCAAAAGAAACAAAAGATTTTGTTTCTTTATTAGTCAGTATCCTGTTGAGAAAGGTACAATAAAATAGTTTCACTTGGTGTAGTATTTAAATGTATATCAGCTGTAGGAAAAATGATATAAAAATGTTTTAATTTCATAATATGTTTGTGTGCACTAAAAGTTTATCTGTAAAGTTGAGGTAACTGCGTGCAGTTGGGAGACGTGCCATTTCTTATTAATTTATACAGATTTCCTAACAGACTCGCTACTGTGATGAAGATTTTTCAAACAATTCTCTGAGAAATAATTACATTATGTAAAATAATTCATCTGAACTGATCACAGTTCAGTTTAATCAATACAACACAATTACTATATTGTTGTAATGTGCCAATATTTCTTCTTCATAAATGGAAGTACAGTCATCTACAAACACCAGTGTTATGTATGAGATATGAGATATTCAGGATAGTGATCATGAGGAATTTGGAAGTGAGGCTGTGTAGGTGGGTAGGAGTCTGCCAACATTTTGGAGGAACCTTCATAAGAGTAGACCTACATACATTCTATCACATCCTGACTTTTGAGCAGTATATTTGAGATAAGTCTTCTGAAATGTAATCCTCCATAATTTGTTTTAACCAACACTGCAGACAAATATACTTCCTCCATCTTCAGGATGGAAAATTGAAGGTGAAGGCAATGTGTTCCTCTGAAATGTCGTTAAACTTCTACCAACCTACACAATATCATATCCCATATCATCAGCCAAATCAAACTGTTGTTTGTGGATGACCTGATTTCATATTGTGACTGCAAACACAACATGATGCGTCAATGAGTATTATTCATGAATGGGAACAGGTCAAACATCTGTACATATGTAATCTAAATGTCTAATATCTGGAGTCATCCTGAAGCTGGAGGCACACATTCCACCAAAACGTTAGTATCCACCTATCAGACTGCAGCATGGTGTATTTCACCAGAATTCTGGTATCCGCCTTCTGACTACAACACAGTGTTATAGCACACAGCATCCCCACCAAGGAACTTGATGATTATACAGCTTTCCAGTTTTGTCAGGAAAGTTACATCAAGGACTTGTAGCTCAGATGGGGAGAACACAAATACATTTCATTTCATGCATCCTGTTGTGTTATTATAGATAATTCTTTTTTGGAGTTCGTCGTAACACAACAACATAACAGTGAAGGTTAAAATTACCTAGCTACATGTTTCGTCTCTTTAAAGCCATCGTCAGGCAAAGCACATGATTACTAATAATGTGTGAATGTAATAATTATGTTTTTTGCCTGATGATGGCTTTAAAAAGCCAAAACATGTAGCTAGGTAATTTTAACCTTGACTGTTATGTTGTTGTGTTGCGACGGACTCCAATAAAGACTTGAACACAAATATGTACAATATTTTTCTTGGAAGATGCTGGAAAGCATCCACTTGGGAAAGCAAAAGTGGTGGAAGAAAGAAATTAAACCAGATCTTGTCAAAATTGGTTATTAGACTCTGGATCATGATGTGTCCACTGGTGGGCTTTGGTGTTAGCAGCATTCATCATCGAAGGGTATGCTGAAAAGTAATGCCTCAATAAGACTGGCAAAAATGTGGTTCTGTCATGCCACACTTACAGAAGTACAGGTACTGCTTGGTATATGCAAGTTGGAATTATGTTGTTTCATTTTAATGCATTCAATTAATTTAGACCTATAACACTTTCTTTAGTATGAACTAATTGCTGGCCAATCAAGAGAGGTGGAAGAACGGGGGATTAGGATGCTGTGTAGGCGTTGAGGAGGAATGCAAAGGGAGAAGATAAAGTGTGGCTTACCTGATGTCATTTATGTCATTGCACCCCCTGCGAGTCCTTTTGGGAATATAACTAGTGCGTTAATTGATGAATACCTGTACAGCTGTGTCTAGATTGCAGAAGTGGTTGTTTGAGAAGTAATTGTATAGAATAGGGAACAAAGTTCAAGGAAGGTAGCCATTTATGTTTCAATGAAATTGCTGTTATGGAAAAGAAATCGGGAGCCATTACTTTCAGCATGCCCCTGTACAAGCTCTGTCAACAGGAGAAGACACACTTCCGAATAAAATATCCCACATTGTGAAATTGTAAATTTCATAATGTTAATTGAAATCCATATTTAGATGTTTGTTGCTTAACGTCTAGTGGTGTTCTGTGTACAGAGCACACTTGCCATTTTATCACATCACTACGTGGAACACAGAATACCTATGGCAGCCATAACTTCTGTCTCTAACAGTGATATTATATCAAAACTGCCAGTTTTTTATACATGTTCAGAAAAAATGCTATCAGCTGTCTATTCATGTATGGGTAGTCACATTTTCAATTTCCTGTGGCGTGTAACAAATACTGTATACATCTGAAATAAAATTACCCTGCTTTACCTTTTATCTACAGTGTAAACCTTATGTTAAACACAAGATATGAAGCTTCCATGGCAGCTGCAGTGGATGAAATCTGCTCTGGCTTTCAGCCGTGTCAGTTGGTTAAGTATCACCGATGTCGCACGGACATCTCTCTCCCTATCGTCAGACATGGCTGATAGCCCAAGAATATTTTATCAGCTCGTGTCACAACTTTTCTCCTTTAAAACAGGACTATGAGGTCACATTGCTCTCTGTGTATGCTCCCCTCCCCGATCCTACTGATCCATGACTGATGTATCATTAAAATATTCCTACAGGTAAGTCAGTAGAAAGGAAACCTAACATACGAATGAGGATTTCGCAATAATGCTGCTGCTGCTGCTGCTGCTACTGCTACTAGCAAGGATGACGGCAGTTTTCTATGGGTAATGATTAAAGTCTTAAAGATGCACCATTCTACCACCCACAGTATTCCAGCCCCATCAATAGATTTTTTCTTTCATATTTCACCACACTACAGAAGCTATGGACGAAGCCAAGCAAAATTTATGCAATCTGGAATGAAATAAAGAAAACGGTACTTTATGTTTTAATGGTTTTCGGTTAGCAGGAAAACCCGATACTTTTGTTTTGATGGCCTTCAGTTATCAGGAAAACCTGGTACCTTGAACGACCTTCAGGACCAGATTATTGATCACAAATTAATTAAATTTAAAAATCCCGGTACTGTTCCGTTTTAATGGTCTTCGGTTATTTGGAAAACCCGGTGGTTATTATGAAAACCCGGAGGTTATTTGGAAAACCCGAAGCAAGACAGTCTTTGAGCACATTTTGTGCATACAGCAAGAAATGTAAACAAAACACGGTTACTTGGAAAACCCGGAAGGTTTTTCTGAAAACCTGATTGGTTTTTGTGAAAACCCGGAGGTTATTTGTAAAACCCGAAGCAAGGCAGTACTTTCGCAGATTTTGTGCATACAGCAAGAAATATAAACAAACCCCGGAACTTTTTGTTAGCACTCCGGAACTTTATGTTAGCACCGCCTTCAGCGAGTCCATACAGCTAGCAATGTAAACAAAACCTCGGTACTTTCCGATGCACCGCGGCAAAATGTAAACAAAACCCCGGTACTTTCCGATGCACCGCGGCAGGAACACGAACATGCGGCAGTTACACGACCATGAGTAATGAGTAGCCAATCAGCATTAAGGGGCGGGGCCGCTTAAGTGCTTACTGCACAATCTATGGGTACAGTAAACGAAACCACGCCTCCAGGGGGGGGAAAGGAGTTATCATCTGACCCCCCCCCCCTACAGACAATGACTAACTGTGTAGCCAACCAACATTAAGGGGCGGGGGCACATAAGTCCACGTGAATTCCGTGCCTACTGCACTACTTATAGGTACAGCAGGAAATTTAAACAAAACCCGCAATTTTTTGATGTAATAACCTACAAGGACATTCAAGAACACAAGACATGTTGCAGCTCTGGACATCTGGCTGCAAATGTTGCCATATTTCCGAAAAATGAGTTACAGTAGACAAAAAGCATCAATGGTCAGGGGCCAAGTCCATTTACAAATACATGAATGTAGTGCTAAATGCAAATATTTTGAAGATACAAGAAATGTATATATAACCCTGATTGTTTTGATCTTATAACCTCTAAAACCTTCAAGAGCACATTTCAAGCCAAAGCTGTGAACTTTCTGATGAGGATTAAACATCGCTGCCACAGTTGAACATTTATCTCCTTGGTAGGGTATGAGGATGAACTTCGTTTCTTCAATTAGCCATTTTTTCAAGCCAACGGGTCAGTTCTCATACACTTGCCTCATCTGCTTTACACTGAAAGCAAGCTTCAGACCCAATACCAAG